CAGCTCTCTTCCTCCATCAGTATCTGCAATGATTAACTCTGTGTGAAGCAAATGAAATTACTGTTCACCTTTTTTTAAGGACGTGGTCACTACATTTTTTTGTTGTTGTTGTTTGTTTTTCAATTCAGTATTTAATTGCACCAATCATATTGTTTTCCTACATCTGGGCAGAAGTGACTTGGAAAACCAAGATTTGCAGACTCCTAGAACATGCTTTCTGAACGGAGGAAATTAATAAGAGGAAATTCTTATTCTGTTTAATGAAGAATACCTTTGACATTAGGACAAGGCGCTATAATAAATGCCTTTCCTATGTGATTCAGCGTTAAAGTCTGGAGCTCTGGAGGCTACGGTCGGAGCAGGGGGCACTGCTCTGCACAATCTTCCCCATTTGCTCTCCTGTCACTGCAGCAAATCTCAGCCTCCGGAAGCCACGCTGTGTTGTGGTTACTTTCTTTGCAATGCCAAGTCCTATAGAGCAGCCGTTGTGTCTGTAAGTACCGGAAGATTTTTCCCTGATTAAATAATTCTTGAGGGAAAAAATTGCTTCCTGGAAACCAGAGCCTCCGCATAGAGATGAGGTTCCCAAGGAGGCTCTGCCCTGCGCGTTGTTGTTTGGCCGCTTCTGAGCGAGGATCAGTGCTTGTGAACAGCACAAACAACACCCAGGCTATAACTGCGCGTCACGCCATGCCCATGAGGACACCAATGGCCCTCACAAGGGCAGCACCGGTGTCTGGTGTTAGCAGATACAGCTGCGCCACATACTGCACACAACCTCCTTACGTTACTCGCAGCCCGTCTTTCCAAAGGGAAGGATACACATTATTCCATCACTAAGCCATGCTGTGTGGAGATCTGCATGGATCAAACCAAACCAAAAACCTGCGGTTAGGAGAGCAGGCACAAAATACAGCTTGCGCATGTGCCTTACTCCCCATCCGTGAAGCACTCATTGCAGGAGAGGTCTCAGCTTCTAGCGGTAGCAGTGGGATCTCCGTGTGTATTTTTTGGTTGCGCTTTGGCTTCTCTGCTTTCCAACAAGACATCTTTCATTTGAGGTCGCTCAGGAAAGACCCACAGAACACACCTTTTCTGAGCGCTGAGGGCCAGGACACAGCAGGCCGGGCGGCCGCCTTCCCTGCCCTGGAG